GGTATCTCTTCCGATTTTTATGCACCACATGTGAATGTAGGACCTACCATTCCACCTCTGCAGCCACAGTTGCCTCTCTGCATCACACTGCCTTTCCATCCAATCTCTTTGTCTCTGCCCCTCCTATCCACCTGGCTGAATGTGGCTTCTTTAAATCCTTGATTTTCGGACTTCAATACAGCTCGATTTTCTGACGGTTTTGGGTGTTATTTGCTTTTGAGACGAGCTCGGGCATGTTCAGGGTGGTATGGCTGTAGGCTGCTATTTGTTCTTGAGATCTGGTTCTAATTTTTTCTATGGTTGCACAAGGAGGTAAGGTATGTTTACCTATACCTCCATCTTGATCAAGAAACCTTAGAGTCGCCCCCGTGACTTCTTACATGTCTTCCAGGATACTGACTTTTAAATTTCATTTTATTTATTTATTTATTTATTTATTTATTTATTTATTTATTTAGAATCCAGGTCACTGTTTTCCAGAAGGTTTCTGAGATTTATCCAAAATTATGCATTTGGATTTCATTTGTTCCTAATAATTATATGGCATTTCATCCAATGTTTATGCCTTATTTTATTTCTCCACTCTCCTATCAATGAACACTTAGTTTGTTGGTGCTTTTCCAATCTTATAAACAACACTGTAATGCACATCTTTGTACACATATCTCTATGGAGACACATTGGTGGGAGTTTCATGCTACCATCCATATCGAAGTGAAGTCAGTGGGGAGAGGTGTTCCCATGATCTCTTGCTGTATAATAACTATCCCACAACTTAGAGTCTTAAAACAATTTGATTTTCTCTCACAATTCTGAGGGTTGGTTGGCTCTGTTGGAGGATCTCGTTGCTGGGACTTCATATAGTTGCTGGTAAACAGTGGCCAGGCTGGAGTCATCTGAAGCCTTCTTTACTCTCATGTTTGGCGCCTAGGCTGCATGGCTACATCAGCTGGGGTCAGACAACATTTCTCTCTCCACACAACCTCTGCCTGTGGCCTGCATGGATTTCCTCGCAGTTTGACTATCCCAGACTTCTGAAATGGCAGCTGACTTCCTCCAAAGGGAACTTTTAAGAGGCCTTGGCAGAAGCTGCGAAGCTCCTTAAGATGCAGCCTTGAGGTCCCAGAACTATCACCATTGCATTCCACTGGTTAAGCAAGTCACTGAGTACAGTCAGGGCTCAAGGAGAGAGGGTTAAATTTCTCATCTTAATGGGAGGTATAGTAAAAAAATTTGCAACCATCTTTTATCCAATACAGAAGTTATGCTTGATTAAATATCACAAAACTGGTTTCCAAAGTGTAGGTTTTAATTTACACTCTTGTAATAAAAAGTCTGACTTCATTTTTATGTTTGCTTACAGGATTAAAGCCCCATGCCTCCCTCTTCCCCTTGTGCTCCACAACTAGGCAGGCTGACAAGGCCCAGATGCTCTCTCCCTCACACTGGAGGGAAACGGAAATCAGGAAAGGCCTGGCAATGTGCAGGACCCCTCAGCCAAGCCTCATCCAAAACCACAATAAAAACCCCTTTTTGCTCTTTCAAATCATTTCAGATGTGCCTTGCTCCCCACTAAAAGCCTCATCATATAAGTAATCCAACTCATACTCTCTGGGTGGGAGTGGCCTCATTAGTCTCCTCATCTGAATCAAATTTTTGTGGGGAGTGTTGATCCCATTGTAAAGCAACAAAATATACTCCTATGAGCAGTGCATGAATTTCACCCTGCTCACACATGGTCAGTACTTGGCATCATCAAACTTTGTAATTTCTGGTTGAATGTTTGTTTCTTCCTTCTGCTCCAAATCATTTATTTGAGTCCCAGTTTCCTCCCCTCTGCTGTTGGTTCCCTGTATATTTTTCTTTATTTCACTTTGTGTAGCTTTCACTTTTTCCTCCATTTTATGACCATATTCAACCAATTCAGTGAGCATCCAGATTACCAGTGTTTTGAATGGCGCATCTGATAGGTTGGCTATCTGTTCATTGCTTAGTTCAATTTTTGGAGCTTTGATCTGCTCGTTCATTTGGGCCATATTTCTTTGTCTCGGTGTACCTGTTACATTGGAAGGGGTGGAGCCTTAGGTATTCACCAGGGCAGGGCAACTCAGGTTGCTGAGTTATGATGTGGTCTGGATGAATATTTCTTCATTAACTCCTTGGTTGTTGGACTTCTTTACAGTTTGATACTCTGGCAGTTCTGGTTGTGTTTTGCTTTTAAATTTGTTGTTGTCTGTCTTTTGGTTGTATGAGGAGGCAAAGTGTATCTACCTACATCTCCATTCTTGGCCAGATGTCAGAAAAATCCCACACTGTTTTGACTACTGTAGCTTTGTGGTAAGTTTTGAAATCAGGAAGTATGAGTCCTCTAGTTTTTGTTTTTCTTTTCCAAGATTGTTTTGTTTATTTGGGGTTCCTTAAGATTTCATATTAATTTTATTTTACTTTAATTAATTTATTTAATTTTTAAGATTTTATTTATTTATTTTAGAGAGATGAGGAGAGGGAAGGAGGGAGAGAGACGTTGATGCATGAGAGATACAGTGACTGGTTGCCTCTCACATGCCCCCAGCAGGGGACCTGGCCTACAACCCAGGCATGTGCCCTGATTGGGAACTGAACTGGCAACCTTCTGATTTGCGGCACAATGCCCAACCCACTGAACCATGCCTGTCAGGGATTAACTAGTGTCTTTTAAAGAAGAGAACATGTTGACACATACAGAGGCACTTGGGCTGCATGGGCACAGAGGAAACACCATGTGAGGACACAGGGAGAAGGCAGCCACCTGCAAGCTGAGGAGAGCAGTCTTGAAATGGCAGGAGAAACCAACTTTGCATGCTCCTTGATCTTGGACTTCCAGCTTCCAGACCTGTGAGAAAATAATTTCTGCTTTTTATGTCGCCCAGTCTGTGGTAGTTTGTTCTGGTAGCCTAGAGGAATAATGCTTGATCTCAAGTGTTTTAATTTGCATCTCTAGCTCGCTATCCTGCTTGCTCATTATTTTGTCTAAAACACACCTGGGGTCCCCTGGCTGTCCTGCTCCAGAGACAGAGCTGTACCACTCACACCAGTCCCTTGCCAGTGTTACTTCTCCAGCTGCCCAGCCTCCTAGCCCTGCGGGGAGCATGTCCAGGCAAGGCGCGGCTCTTTGGAAGTCCCTAAATCTGTCTCCAGGATCTACTTCCCTTGCGCTCCTGGCAAGAAGTAGGCGCCCAAGCTCTTTCGTGAATGTTACTAGACTGTAAATGTCTCGTACCTGTGGAGGAGGGGCACAGTCATGTAACGGAGCACAGCCAGGACCCCTCCCCCCGCCAAAGGGTATTTTGTAACGGGGTCCAGAAATTGGGGTGTCCAAGAAAAATATATTCTCCCCAACCCAGGGTGGGCTGCCATGGGGGATGGGAACCTTGAGCAGGGCCATTGAGAAGTCATTTTTCATGTCACTAACAGGATAGCTTCGTTCCTCATTTGCAAAGAAGATTATTTTGCACATCACCAAAGCTAATCAGGAAGGTTTAAGACAATATAGAAGGTAACTGAGAGAGAAAGAGGAGAAGCGACGGGGGCGGGGGGGGGGGGGGGCGGGGGGTCCTGCAGGAGAGACGGAGGGACACAGACTCTGGGGAAGGGTGTGAAGACCACGCGGGAAGAAAGAGGGGAGAAAGGACTCTTGCTAGTGGGCCAGGAGAAGGTGCCACAGGGTTATGGATTAAGTGATGGAGATCGCGCGGCGACGCAGTGGATGGTGCTGAGACCCGCAAGAGGCCTGCCTAGCTGAGCCCCGGACTTCTGTTCTTTTTCTTCTGAAGGAAGGTACCCCTGACTGGCCTGACTGCGCAAAGGGGGGAAGGCAGGACTGTGTGTGTGCTGGTGGTGGTTTTGAAGGGATTTTGAGGTTTAAGGGTGACATTTAGTCATTAATCAAACCTGTAAAATTTTTGAATAATTAGTTCCTTTCCTTTTCACCAAACTCTGCCATTCAGAGCCATAATTCCAAGGGCGGCGGGCAAAGGACCCCCAACCGAGGGGTCCCGGGGAAAGAGAGTGTCGTTGTTTCGGTAATAGCATCTGGGCATCCCCGCCCCCCTCCCACGGGTCCTTCTGTTCGGTAACAGTTCGGGGCAGCCCCTGGATCTGGGATCCGGAGATGCCAGGACCGCAGTGTGCAGAGGCTAAGACCGACGCAGCACAAGCGGTTGGGGGAATGCCCACCCTGCGACAGGGACCACAGGCGCCAACCCCGGACACACAGTGAGCACTGGCAGCGACCCGCGTGGGACATTTCGGGATCCCGCGGAGAGGGGAAGCGTCCTACGGTCTTGCGCCCCGAACATCGCCCGCCTGCGCTTCGCCAGCCTCCCTGCGTAAGGTCTTTGGGAACGGCCGCTGGGGGCGGAGAGGGCTCCGAGCCACACCTCCCCCAGCGGGGCTGCGCAGTCTGAGAAAACAGAATCGAGCCTTGCCTCCGGAGTCTGGGATCTGGGAAGAGAAACTTGCGACTGTGACTGAGGCACCCTGCCGCCGCCCTCAACCCGACCCCGCCCCGAGCTCGAAGCCGCAGGGGCGGGGTCGGGGGTGGATAACTGTGTCCGGACTGGAGATGGGGCCCCACCAGGCCCTCCTTCTCCTTCTCGCTGAACTTCGAAGGTAGAGCCATTTCTGAGAGGTGCGGTCACTTTCTTAAGATGCTCCGGGACAGGACCGCCCAGGACCCCGAGAGGCTGTCGCAGGGGACCCGGAGTCTGGACTTCCACTCCTCCCGCGTTCTCTCAACCTTCGCGAGACCCCAGCGTCCCTGGACCTCTGCTGGACACCACGTACCCCTGCTCCGTGCTCCCCAGGGCCTCCGACCTCAGTGCAAGCTCCAGTCCTGCCTTCCCCTCCTACCTTGCACCCGGTGTCCCCACCCTAGCCTCTCCGGGCTCCTCCCCCAGGTTCCCAGGGCGGCTCTGGTTAGGCCCCCTCGAGCCCCGAGGCTGCCCAGGCTAGAGCGCGCCATGCTCCGGGTCTTGGCGCTGCTGCTCCAGCTGCTGCCGCTGCCCGTGCTCGCCCCGCAGCCCAAGGCGCAGGACGTGAGTCTGGGCGTGGTGAGTGCTGGGTCTCCCGGCTCCTGGGATTTGCAGATGGGCGAGGAGAGGGAAGCCAGTGTCGGACACCTACGTGACCGCTGATTCAAATGTCCAAAGAGTGACTGATTGGGGATGGTGTCAGGGGACCAGGATTTTTGGATCAGTCAGGTTTGGGGCCTCGATTTAAAGATCTGGAATGGGACTTGGGTGAGGACGTGGGGACTAGATGAAGAATGGCAAACCCACGGCTGGAGGGCCAGGACCTTGAGAGGGGAGCCGTCAGGTACCTGGGGCTGGAAGCCCTGGGTTTCCTACCAGTGAGAGGTGAGGCTTCTAGGATAGCTTGGGAAGGCAGCGCCGCATCCCTCTCTGCCTGACCGACTCACCCGTTCACTTCTATGATCCAGGACTGGCTGACACGCTACGGCTACCTTCCACCACCCCACCCAGCCCAGGCCCAGCTGCAGAACCCTGCAAAGCTTCGGGATGCCATCAAGGTGATGCAGAGGTTTGCAGGGCTGCCTGAGAGTGGCCTCCTGGGTAGGTGGCCCCCAGACCCTTCCCAGACCTGCCTCTGCACCCAGCTTGAGCATTATCCAGCTGTTCCTAAACCTCAGCATGCACCTGAATCATGGGAGAGATGAAAGTGCCGACCTCAGTTGATAAACCGAGAGGTTCTCAAGCATTTCTCTTTCAATAAATATTTGTTGAGAATCTCTTAAATGAGAGACCATTTCAATCTCCACTGGTACAGCAGTGAACAAAGAAAGATAAGGTCCCTGCTCTCATGGAGCTGACCTTTTAGAGAGAGAGAGATACATTCTAGAGATCAGGAACAGAAATAAGCAAGATAATTTCAGATAGTGATTAAAAAATTCTTTTAAAAAATCCTCACCCCAAGGATATGTTTATTGATTTTTTTAAGAGCGAGAAAGGGGTGGGGAGAGAGGGAGAGGAAGAGAAACATCGATGTGAGAGAGAAATATGGATCTGTTGCCTCTCGTATGCACTCCAATCTGGGATCAAACCACAACCTAGGTACGTACCCTGATCAGGGATTGAACCCGCAACCTTGTAGTGTACAAGATGATGCTCCAACCAACTGAGCCACCTTGCTGGGCAGATAGTGGTGTTTGGAAGAAGATAAAATGACAAGGATATTGAGGGGCTGTTCTGGTCAGATCAGGGTCCTTTGAATGGTGTCCTATGAGTCAATAGGAACTCCTATAACACCAATAACTCATAGAACACGAAGGGGAGGAGCCAGACTTGGGAAGATGTGGAAGAACAGTGCACCAGGCCAGTGCAAAGGCCCTGTGGCAGGCACAGGCTGTGCATCTGTGATGAGAGAGGTGTGAGGAGCTAAGCAAATGGCTGACTGTGGGGAGGAGTCTTGAAAGGTGTTTGGGTTTGATTCCAAAGCATAGTAAAAAAACGGGTGGGTTTGAAGGAAGGGGGCAACTTGGTCTGTTTTGAAGTTTTACATTTCCTCTGGTTGCTGATGGAGAATGGAGGGTGGGGAACACAGGACAGGAAGGAGGGGTTGCAGTGTCCAGGCAAGGGGTGAGGGTGGCCTAGTCTGGGGTGGGAGGCGTGGCGAGAAGGGTTGAATTCAGGGGTGCACATTTTGGAGGCAGAGCTGAGAGGCTCATCTGCTGGGTTGAATGGGGAAGAAGAGAGAATGGGTGGGGTCCTGGCTAGCTATGAGGGAAGGCAGCATCTTTCCCTGTCCTGTCCACTGACCAGCAGTGTTTGGCATCTACCTGTGTTCAATTTTGATTTGTGACCCTCAACCATGAGGTGTGAGGTTTGATCTTTCTTTGAAGATGAAGAGACTTCTGTGAATTGAGCGCAGCTGGAAAAGGGGATTCCAGGCATCTTTAATCAAGGAGGGAGTGGCTAGCCACAGACCCAGCTGGCATGGGGACTTTAGACTTTACCTAGATGTGATGGGGTCTTGGGAGCTATGGTGTAGGGTGCGGGTAACCTCCCAGGGGTTTCTAGCCTCAAAGAAAGGAGTTTAGGTCTCCTTTCTTGAAGGTCTCCTTTCTTGAGTCTAACTGCCAGGGCTCAGGGAGGCAGGACCCCAAGATTCCTGCCTGAGGTTCAGAGCACCACCTGGAGGCAACCAGTTCCTCTAGGGCCGGGTGCAGAGGGTGACACTGCCGAGAAAGACAGTGTCACAATTTCGCATGAGTTGGCTTCCGGAATCAGACTTCCTGAATTCAAATCCAAGTGGGGCAAGTTTCTTAACCTCTCTGAACCTCAGTTTCCCCATGTAGAAAGTTAGCTGGTACCATGCTTAGGGCAGGTTATCCTGCTGATCCTGCTCCCCCAACCTTTCCTACAGACCCAGCGACAATGGCCACCATGCATAAGCCCCGCTGCTCCCTGCCCGATGTGCTGGGGGTGGCTGGGCTGGTTAGACGCCGCCGCTATGCTCTGAGTGGCAGTGTTTGGAAGAAGCGAACTCTGACATGGAGGTAGGTCTTGATGCCCACTCTACCCTGGGCCTGCCTGCCGGGCCCTGGTCTCTGTCTCCCTGGCCATCCTTATTCCCTTACTCTTTCCCCAGGGTACAGTCCTTCCCCCAGAGCTCTGCACTGAGTGAGCAGACTGTGAGGACTCTCATGCATCATGCCTTGACCGCCTGGGGTATTGAGTCAGGCCTCAAATTCCAGGAGGTGGATTCTCAGAGCCCAACAGAGCCTGACATCCTCATCGATTTTGCCCGGGCCTACCACAAGGACAGTTACCCCTTCGATGGGCAGGGGGGTACCCTAGCCCACGCCTTCTTCCCTGGGGAGGCTTCCATCTCTGGGGACACTCACTTCGACGATGAGGAAATCTGGACATTTGGGTCAAAAGGTACAATATCCCTTTTTCTGAGAGGTCCCCTTCCCAGGTCTGCCTGTCCTTAAGAATTAGGTTTAAATTACATTTATCGATGGGGGCTGTGTCAGTTGGGATTCTCCAGAGAAACAGAACCAATAGGATATGTGTATGTATGAAATAATTTATTTTAAGGAATTGACTCACGGAATTGTGGGACTGGCAAGTCTAAAATCTGTATGGCAGGCCCACAAGTTGGAAGTTCAGGTGAAAAGTGATGTTGCAAACTTGAGTCCAAAATCTGTAGGGCAAGACAGCTGGCTGGAAGCCCAGGCAGGATTTCTATGTCACAGTCTTGGAGCAGAATTCTTTTTCCAGGAAATCTTTTTGGCTCTTAAGCTCTTCAACTGATTAGACAAGGCCCACCCACAGTACGGCGAGTGATCTGCTTTACTTAAAATTAACTGATTGTATATGTTAATCATATTTACAAAATAACCTCCAAAGCAACATCTAGGTTGGTGTTTGACCAGGCAACCTCTCACCATAATCTGGCCAAATTGACATAAAAAATTATCCATCACAGAGGCCTGTCAGGTACCCAGCTCTGAGCTGGGGCTGAGGACCTAAAGAGGTAAAAACAGTCCTGACCAGTGTGGCTCGGTTGGGCATCCTCTCAAAGTGAGAGGTCACCAGTTTGATTCCTGGTTAGGACACATGCCTGGGTTTCGGGTTTTGTCCCTGGTCTGGGCGTGCATATGAGGGGCAACTGATTGATGTTCCTCTCTCACATCAATATTTCTCTCCTTCTCTTTCTCCCTCCTGTCCCCTCTCTCTAAAAATAAATCAACAAAATCTTGAAGAAAAAAAGAGGCAAAACTACAGTTCTGTGTAGCGGCTGAGTTAGAAGAGTAGTTGACAGTTGCTACAGGTGATGATGATACAACACAGCTTTACGAAATCACAACAGGAAAGTCCTCAAGCCTGTGGGCAGGTGCTCAGAGGAAAGGCTGGTCTGGGCTTTAAGCTGAAGGAGGCTTCCTGGAAGCAGTGACTTTGTTCATTACACACACACACACTCTGAATCCTGACTAGCACACAAAATCACACTCTCCTGGCATACAATATGAAAGGGCAAGCCAGTGAGCTAGCTCAGTCCAGAGTAGTCAGGAGTGGTCAGGGACGGGAGCACTGGGGTGGGAAATGGCCTGGGACATTTGGGCTGGAAGGCAAAAAATACAGTGTCGGGAGGGAAACCATAGAGGATGGATGGAAAGTATACCACAAAGGGCCTTGGAGAGCTTGGGGAGGAGTCTGGATTGTAGGATTCTGAAGGCAATAGATGTGGAAGCTTTTGCATTCTAGAGAGACCAGGGACTGCAGTGCAAGATAGAGGCAGGAAGGCAGGAAGTTGCTACAGAGTCAAGGTGAGAGATGGCGGGTGATGGGGGTGGTGACAGAGAGCACTGGGTAGCTGAGGGAAGTTTAGTCAGGACAGGCAAGACCGGGGTGTGATTGGATCCTGGGGGAAAAGGGTACAGGAGGGTGGGGTGTGGGCTCCTAGAGGACAGTCCTGTTAATGCAGATGGAAAATGTGGGAGGAGGAGGACCAGGCTGGGGGAAGGCAGAAGTGAGTTCAGGTGAGGGCGTGTTTACAGTGTTTATGGGCAGTCAGTGCAGCTGGTGCATCAGTGGTTCAGTATGTCGTTCTGGAGCTTGAACTCCTTTGACTTAAATCAGTTTCCCCAGAAGCGAAGCTCAAGGTGGAAATTCTTATGCAAGCAGTTTCTCAGGGACAGGTTCTCAAGGGAAAGGGAAACAAAAAGGTTAGGGAAAGAAGCTGAGCAAGGATATGGTCTCAGCTCCAGAGGTGCCTGACCCCACCAGAAGGTCTGGAGCACAAATGGTGCTACAGGGTTGGCCCTGCCCCAGAGGTGAGGTGCCCAGCTCTCCTAGTCCCAAATCAGCCATTAGCTGCAACATGCTGGGCAGAGGTGGCCTGGGAGGGAGAGCCATTTTCTGGGGAAGGGAACAACCAGTGGGGTGGGCACACAGGGTCAGAAGATTTGGGCAAGCTGCAGCTAGCATCCACAATAGTGAGACTGTAACAGCATTTTAGAGCATGACCTTAACCCTGGCTGGTGTGGCTCAGTGGATTGAGCACGGGCCTGCGAACCAGAAGGTCACATGTTTGATTCTCAGTCAGCACATGCCTGGGTTATTCCCTAGTTGGGGTTGTGTGAGAGGCAACAGATTGATGTATCTCTCATACATTGATGTTTCTCTTCCTCTTTCTCCCTCCCTGCCCCCCTCTAAAGGTAAATAAGTAAAATCTTTTAAAAACACGCACACGCACAAACTTGAAGTGGAACTCAAGGCTGGGATCCTCTGCTTGCTATGAGTCTAAGTTACTTGACTTCAGTGTGCTTAGTTTTGGCACCTGAGAAGTTGGGATAATAATAGCACCTGTGGGAAAGTGTGGACTTGCAGATTAAATGAGTAATTCACTTCCAGCTCCCTGCACAGGGCCTGACACAGAGTAGAGCTCCATTCATTGCCAGCTGCTATCAGAGCTGGACCTGGTGGCAGGTTTAAGAGTCAGAGGTACTGGGGTAAAGAGGAGAGTATGGAATGTGAAAGTCAAGTACAGAGCTGTGGAGAGCGCCACAGTAGAGGGGAAAGGGTCGGGGGAGGAGGAATCAAAGAAACAGAGAAAGAACAATCTGAAAGGTGATCACGTTTGAGCAAAAGAAGTGGCTAGCAGTGGGTGACATGGGAAACCAGTCCAGTAAGTTACATAGGCTTGGATTTGGTCAGCTGAGGATGAAGTAACCTTAATGCCTGTTGGTTTGGTGAGTGGGGGAAGAATCCAGGCCGAAGTGGGGTTGGGCGTGGGAGGGGCTGAGGAAGGGGACTGAATTTAGACCACTGACCAAAGAACTTGCTGGGGAAGAAGAGGGGTGTGGATGGGTGGCAGACTGGTCCAGGGAGTATCTTAAGATGAGGGAGTCTTGAGCATTCAGGAATGCTGGATGAGTTAATAGAAAGAGTTTGGGGACGGGTGGATAGCCACATGAATGGGTGAACAGACAGATGGATGGGGCATTTTTCTTGTCCTAGGGAAGGTGAGGCAGGGCCTTGAATAGAACAGGGCAGGAGGCAGGAGGTGAGCATGGGGGAGATGAAGCTATCTGTTCTGGGTGTACAGGAAGTTACAGATTACATAGGATGGCCTGTCTTGATAGAATAGAAAATCCATTTGTCAGCATTTGTCATCTAATAGTTGGGGGCTGGGCCTGGGCAGCAGCTTGAGGGGCTGAGTGCACAGAGCAAAGGAGCTTTCTGCAAAGGCCCAAAATCTCCCCCAGCTGCATTGCATGAGAATGGTGCAAGGAAGGGTTGTCACAAAGGAAGCAAGGCAGGGAAAGCGTGGGGGTGAGAGATGAGAGATCTACCTGATTAAATAAGACTCCAGACTTTCTCCCATTTCTCAGAAAAAAACTCGGAGCAATGAGAAAACCCACAGTCAACATGGGAATTCATCAATATATATGAGTGACTAAGACCACCTGGAGTCACTGCTGAAAGCAGGACAGCACAGTCAGAGTATTTAGCCTTCGTTTCAGCTCTGTCATTTAACTTGATCTTTCTGCACCTCAGTTTCCTGGCCTGTAAAGTGGATTTGGAGGTAGAGGTTTTGCGAGAAGTAAATGAGGACAAGTGTTTGCTACTCCTCTTATGACTTACACGTTTCATTCTTCAATTCATCTAGTGGCCTTTAGTGGCTAAGAAGGAGTTGCTTCTCAGTACACCACGTCACTTCCAATAAACCCACTTTCAACACTGCTGACCCTAATTAGAGATTTGCATGAAATAGATCAACATTTAGGGAAATCTGTGCTTCCTAGGGGCTGGCCCACCTCTTGCTGCCTCTGTCTCTTTTGGCCCTGTCATCTGCTAAACTGGAGCCAGCAGGCAGCTCATGGGTGGATGAGGAGCTGGGATTTGGCCAGCAATGGGGAGTGTGAAGAGGCTTGCTTCTGGCGCCTGGGCTTGGTCCCCAGGGAAGAGGTCTCCGTGTTCAGAGAGGCTGAGAGTGAGGCTGGCCCCGCAGGCCAGCAGGCTGTGGTCAGAGAGTGCATGCTGAAGCTTTGGGCTCTGAGGAAATGGATGAAGGCCGCAGTGGTGGGAAGGAGAGGCCAGGACCCCAGGGAGGCGGGGAGGGGTGGAGGCTTTGAGAGGGAGAGCTGCGGAAGGCAAATAGAGAGAGGAAGGATGTGGGCACTACAGGGGTGCAGATGGAAGGAGGGGGGAGAAAGGAAAGACCATGGGGGTGGGAGTGGGGTTCTGAAGGTCTTGGGAACAGAGGCCAAGAGGACGGAGCAACATTCCTTGTGGGTGGGAGTGGAAAGGGTGGGGACCTCTGACCATAGGCTGGAGCTGGGACCCGGGAAACTCCAAGGGCTGGGGCTTCCTCTAGAGAGCTGTATGCATCCTCAGGCTTCGGCTTCCCCTGCCCCATGGTTTTTATGCACAGCCTGCCTTTACTGTGGTCATGACCTACATCACTCTAAGCTTGCCCTTCCTCTGTTCAAACTGTCTCCTGTACTTTCCCCAACCTGTTCTATAGATCTTTTAAGTCTGGTACCCCAGTGCCTAGCACTGCCAAATAAAAATATTTGCTGAATAAGTGAATTCATTCAGGGAGGGAGAAGGGTCTCAGGGATGTTTTTGGGCAGAAAAGGCTGTGGCGATCTCTGGAGGGTCTCCTGGCTGTTGCTGTCTGCCAGCAGGACCCACTCTCAGGGGCTTCCTTGCTGCCCCTTTCCTGGCTGCCACAGCTCCGGCCTGTTCTCCCTTCCTCTGCAGATAGTGAGGGGACGGACCTGTTTGCTGTGGCTGTTCACGAGTTTGGCCATGCCCTGGGCCTGGGCCACTCCTCTGCGCCTAACTCTATCATGAGGCCCTTTTACCAGGGCCCTGTGGACCATCCCACCAAGTACCGCCTGTCCCAGGATGACCGTGAAGGCCTGCAGCAGCTCTATGGTATAGGGAGTTGGGGGACGAGTGGTTCTTGCCATGTGAGCTCTGCAGCAGGGTCAGGCAACCCACGCCTCTCTAACTCTCTTTACAGGGAAAGTGTCCCAAACCCCGAATGATGAGCCCACAGGGAAACCCCTGGCTCCTCCTCCCCTGCCCCCTGCCCTGCCCCCTGCCCTGCCCCCGGACAGGTGAGTCCCCCTCCAGCTTTGTGATCTTGTGTGAGCTCCCTATGGTTGGTGCCCTCCTTGGTGAGGTGGGCATGGTAAGAGTCCCTGCCCCATAGGACTGTCATTAAGGTGAAGTAAAGAGAGGAGCCCTGGCCCCTTTCTCCTGATCTTTCCTTTCCTCCTCAGGCCCTCCTTCCCTGTCCCAGATCGATGTGATGGCAATTTTGATGCCATAGCCAACATCCGTGGAGAAACCTTCTTCTTTAAAGGCGAGTCACTTCGGATATCCCCTGACCCCATAGAATTGGCTTCCTACACACTTAGCGTGACTCACTGGGCCAGTGGTGTTTCCCAGAATGAGGGACTTTCAAATTAGGGGGTGGGGTGACTCTCTCTGCTGAGCACCCCGCACCTGCTTTTCCTACTCCCTTTCTTTCCCCAGTGCCCACTGTCCCTCTGAAGCCCCAAGGAGCTTTCCCCCTTTTTCCTTCCCCCCAAAGGCCTATATCCTTGCTTTCTTTTTCCTAAGTTCCAATGGCCCTTCTTTTGCCTCTGTAACTTTCTTCCTGAGCTCATGCAGCCCAGCTGGCTCGCTTCTTCCAGGGCTCACTTCTTCTACTTGTGTGACTTTCTGAATAAACTTCTGCTTGTGTTTAGGAGGAAAAAAACCCATGGGGGTGGGGATTGGGGGTGGTGGTAGAAGGTAAGTCCTGGGCCAGCTGGTCACCCTAGAGCCACTGGACCCTTGATTTCCAGAAGGACTTCTCGCCCAGCACTAAATCCCAGCAACACAGTCTGGGGGACAAGACCTTTTGCTCTCTCATAACCCACACCCACCCCTTCTTCTCCCACAGGCCCCTGGTTCTGGCGCCTGCAACCCTCAGGACAGCTGGTGTCCCCCCGACCTGCCCAGCTCCACCGCTTCTGGGAGGGGCTGCCTTCCCAGGTGAAGGCCATCCAGGCAGCCTACGCCCGGCACCGAGATGGCCGAATCCTCCTCTTCAGCGGTGAGTGAGGTCCAGGCGGGTACAGGCGCGGCACGGGAGAGTTGCTCAACAAGCCACTTCCCTGCAGGCCCCCAGTTCTGGGTGTTCCAGGACCGGCAGCTAGAGCGTGCCGCGCGGCCACTGGAGGAGCTGGGGCTGCCCCCGGGGGAGGAGGTGGATGCCGTGTTCTCCTGGCCACTGAACGGGAAGACCTACCTGGTCCGGGGCCAGTTCTACTGGCGATACGATGAAGCGGCTGAGCGCCCCGACCCTGGATACCCGCGCGACCTGAGTCTCTGGGAGGGGGCGCCTCACTCCCCCGACGATGTCACTGTCAGCAACACCGGTAGGAGAGCCTGCGGGGAGTGTCTGAGGTGCCGGCACTGCACGCTACTGGCCCTTGGGGTTGGGGCTTGAGGTCATCCTGGGGGACTTCAGGGAGCCCTGAGAGGGGTGGGGCTTGGGACAGCCTGGATCAGCTCTGCAGCATTTCTGCCCGCTCTGCAGGTGACACCTACTTCTTCAAGGGCACCTACTACTGGCGCTTTCCCAAGGGCAGCGTCAAGGCCGAGCCGGACTCCCCTAAACCCATGGGCCCCCAGTGGCTGGACTGCCCGGCCCCCAGCGCTGGCCCTCCCTCCCCGACGCTGCCCAAAGCGACTCTCAAGCCCGGAACATGCAATTGTCAGTGCGAGATCAACCACGCCTCGGGGCTGCCATTGGTGCCCCTCCTGCCGCCCCTTCTGCTGTCTCTTCTGCCCCTGCTTGTGGAGGATGTCACCTTCTGCTGAGTGGGGACAGAATGCTACACTGAAAGGGCTGGGTTTCCCACAGTGGGCCTGTGGGGGGTTGTGATCGCTGCTAAGCCTTATTCTCTGTTCCAAGGGGTGGGCTCAGCATGGATTCAGCTGGGCTTAGATGGGGGACAGGGAGACAAAGTCTGGCCCTGGGACTTAACACAGGAAATGGTCGGCCCCACCGCTCATTGCCCACTCAGGTCTGTCCTTTTTCTGGAATAACTGGCTTTTCTCAAGAGTGCAGCAGGCTGACTCCCCATAGCCCTCGCCCTGCTGGGCAACAGCTGCTCACGTCTGTTGGGGTCTTTAGAGCAGGGATCCCCAACCCCCTGGCTACCTGTCAGGACAGGCGTGAGCGAAGTCCGTCTGAGCTCCACCTCCTGTCATCCGGCACCCCCACACCCAGTGGGGGTGAGCAGATGAAACAAAGCTCGCCTGCGCTTGGGCTCCTGTTCCCCACCTCACCTGAGCTCTGCCTCCTGCCCCCCCCTCCATGAAACCAGTCTCTGGTCCCCAAAAGATTGAGGACCGCTGCTTTAGAGGACAGGCCTGTTTGGGAGACTCAACCCCAGCACCCCTCTTTTTCCAGACCTTTTTCACCCTCTTCTGCTTCTACCAGGTCCCAGTCCACACCACATGGGTGAGGAACTGGGACCCAGTCCTGAGACCACCCCTGGTGATACCGGTGGCCATAAGGGTGACCTTCCACAATTTGGCCCCTGGACCTCATTGCTGTTCACTACCCTGGACCCAGAACTGTTCCCATTCAATTAGGACACCCTCTTGTTTTTAAAAACCTCTTTCTGACTCCACACTGGGGTGTCTGCTGTTGCCTCAAAGAGAACTCTTAATCTGGGGTCACTGATTCCTCAGCACTCCTGGATGATGAGTGCGTGAAACCTGGGCCGTCTCGTCTACTCCCCATTCTCCACTGGATACAGGATCTAAATCAGTGCCTCTGGAACTGTTTCTGCAATATTCCCTACCAGAATCACCCAGGGAACTTCAAAAAAGCAGCAGACCTCATTCCCTTACCCTGGACCTTCACTCAGGGTGGGGTCAAGGGTCTATGTTGAACAAGCTGGGGTGAGGGTGGGGTGGTCTGATGGGCAAGGGAGATGTTCCCCTGTCTGTCTTGTGGCTTTTCTGTATCTCTGCCGTATTCTCTCAGGAGTCAGTCTCTTCATGTCTCTTACAGAGCCAAGCTGATGGCCTTGGTTGAGAGGGGTTATCCCCCTGGAGGGAGTCACTTAGTGGTCTCTTCTCGGGTTACTATTCAGCCTTATGACCCCACAGTGCTACCTGGAGCTGAGGGTATGGGCTGCAGTCCCAGTGAGCAGACACAGGGCCTGCTGTTGGTCACAACAGGCAGACCAGTATGAAGGTAACAGCCAGGCATCTTTGGCCAGTCCATGACATGAGAATTCTAAGTCTCTAGAAAACTATCTAGAAAGAATCCTCTGTGGGGATTCTTTCAAAGTGTGAGGAGAAGGGAGACTTGTATTTTCAAAGCTTATTAGCCTCACCCACAAAGACAATAAAAATAACTGGAGAGAAAGCCCTTTTCTTCTGAGCATGGATGGCCCTTTGGTGGCAGGAACTTGACAGACTTGAGTCATTCTGGAGTTTGAATCCAGAGTTGAAGGGCCACAGGATGGGGGATGGAAGGAGATTGAATGGGAGGAGGAAGCAGAGAGAGGAACCCAAAAGTTGGTTGGTTTGGGGAGAACCCAGAGGAGGAGTATCCAATGTAAAAATTGAGGCTGCTTTTAGTGCTACATGGATATTTTTCCTCCTGCCTTTAAGAATTTATTGTCTGCTATGCAAAAATATGTCAAATTGATTATTTTGAAAATGGTAGTCTCATAATCAAAATTTAAAACTCTTGTTCTTCAAAGAACACCAAAAAGTAAAAAGACAACCCACAGAATGGGAAGAAGGCTTTGCAAACAATATATCTGATAAAGAATTTATACTCAGAATATATAAACTACTCTTAAAGCTTAATAAAAAAACAAATAACCCAATTTTAAAATGGGCAAAGGATCAGCATATTCATTTCTTCAAGGAAGATATATATCTTCAAGAGAAAAAGCATATCCACATGGATACTTACACATGAATGTTCATAGCGGTGTTATTCATACTTGCCAAGAGATGGAAACAATAGATGAGTGGTTAAACAAAACACAGTCTATTCATACAGTGAAATATTCAGCCATAAAAGGAATGAAGCACTGGTACATGCTGCAACCTGGATGAATCTTAAAACTATTACACTAAGTGAAAGAAGCCAGGTACAGAAAGGTGACATACTGTGTGGTTCCACTTACATGAAATGTCCAGAATAGGCAAACATAGAGAAAAACTAGACTAGTGGTTGCCTAGGTCTGGTAGGGAGTGGACATGTGATTTGGGGATGATGGCTAAGGGCACACATCTTTTCTGAGGATGAAAGTGCTCTGAAATTAATTGTGATGTTTGAACAGTTCTGGGCATTGAATTATACACTTCACTGGGTAAATTGTATGGTCTGTGAACTATACCTCACTGAAGCTATTAAAAAATGGTATATAGTGCACTATGAAAGACAAAATGTCTTCCGTTGGTGGCCTTTGTGAGGCACTTGTTATGTGGCATCAGGGAGCCAGGCCTCTGGAGATGAGGCCCAGAAGTAATACTTACACCTGAAGCAAAATACTTGTACCTGAAGCTCCCTCTTTCCCACCCTAGAATTCAAAGCTCAGGGAAGAATCCACACTTTGTAGGTGTGGAAAGTAGGTTTCAGACAATTGAATGGGCTCCTAAGGGGCAGGGAAACATCACCTGGTGTCTAGGTAACCCAAATGAGGCTTTCACCCAGGAAGTGTGATGTGGTAGTCTGTCCCTGTGGGGCTCCCATGAGTAGCCTCTTTCAAGAGCCCAGGTTCTCTCTGAGGATGTTAGGGGTTGAATTGTGTTCCTCCCCCAAAATTCATATGCTGAAGTCATAACCCCCAGTACCTCAGAATATCAACTTAATAGGAGACAGGGTCTTTATAAAGGGATCAAGTTAAATGATGTCATTAGGATAGGCCCTATTCCAACATAACCAGTGTCCTCATAAAAGTGGGAGGTTAGGAGACGGACTTGTATACAGGGAGAATACCATGTGAACATGAAGATGACCATCTGCAAGCCTAGGGCTGAGACTGGGAACAGATCCTTCCCTCACAGCCCTCAGAAGGAACCAACTCTGCCAACACTTTGATTTAGACTTCTAGCCTCCAGAACTGTAAGAAATTACATTTGTGTTGTTCAGCCACTCAGTCTGTGGTGCTTTATTCTGGCAGCCTCGGGACACTAATAGGGCACAACAATGGCCGTGCTGAGCTATGTGGGACTTTGGTCCAAAATTAGATATTAGGGAGGAGCTGAGAGGTGGGCAGGGCTATGTGGGACAAAGCCACATAAGGGGTCTTGTAGGTCCTGCCATGTCCTGAGCCTGGAGCTGCTATAGAGTCTTCTCTAAACTTCGGAGCTGGGGTCCATGCACTCTGTTCAAAGGACCTGGTGCCCATTCCCCTATACCTTGACCCCCAACTGTATGACTTTATTCTTGGAAGTTCTGGGAAATGCTCCAATGTGCTTTCACAATCTGGACTTTCCCTTGGCCCCTTCTTTGTCTCAGGCTGATGGGGGTGAGGGAAGAGCCCTATTCCTGGTCTCAGAGATTCCCTAGTTCCGCAAGTGGAGGAACCACAGTCTGAGTGTAAGGGATGTGCCCTCCCCGCTGAGAGCCCACACACTCCCATCTTCCTGTCTTTCTTCCTCTGTCTCTGTCGATCACCTTGTTTCCCCACCAACTTACATACATGGTCTGTGAGCCCTGGATCCTTCCTTAGGGCAGCCCCTCCTCTGCCACTCTTAAACCAGGTGGACCTCCCTTTGGTACAGAAGCGCCGGCTGGACTTGGTGCTGGGAACATCTGGGAGAAGGAGGCTGGCTCAGTGAAGGCCCCAAAGGGAGATGTGGCCAAAGGGACTTTGTGGAAGTAGTGGAAGGACTGTTCCTCTGAAACCCCTCTCGTACCTGTTCCTCCCAACCAGGCCGCAGGCCTTTGAACTCTGAACAGCCACAGGCAACTCCAAGGTGAATGAGAGCAAATGATGAGGGGATGGTAAGCCCTGAAGTCCCATGTCCCATTGCATGTTCCCCTCTCCCTCCAGCACCGTCCCCACCCTGGCTGATCTCCCACATGCACCTGGCTCTCTTACATCCTCCCTGGGCCATGAAGAGACCCCTGGAGAAGCAGGATGTGATAAGAATGTGACCTGTACGGTCATCATAATGGCCCTGAGCCTGGTTGGTTAAATGCTATGCTAACACTACCCTGAAATTCTGAATAATTATTGACAAATGGCCCCACCGTTTCATTTTGCATTTAGCCCTTCACTTCATGTAGCAGGTTCTGGTTGTGGGGCCAAAACTCCTGTCTGGGAGAGAAATTATGGGGACAGCTCTGTGTGTGTGAGAAGAGTTGTATGTATGTGTCAGGGGCACTGAGAAACAATGAGTCTTATGGGACAATGTGTTACTTTAACAGTGAGATCTGATTTGTTGTGGGAGGAGCTGGAGAATGAAGGGTCCGTACATGAGAAGAAACACCAGTCCTAGTAGACTCTTTTTATCCCAAACCCTGGAGGTGGGAGGTGGACTGTGTTTTCCTGGGGGCTTAAAATTCCTCTCAGGTGCCTGGACCAGCAGCCCAGGACTGGCATTGGCCTCAGTGTCTATTCCTCCTTTTTGTGATGCCTTCCAACCTCCCCGTACCTTATTAACCCCTGACCCCCGCACCCTAACTGTGGCATTGATCTGATGCTGCAAGGTGCTCTGGGACTTATGACAATGGAATCGTGGAGTGGTCATTGAGGAATGAAATGATCCACTAAGGGCTCAGTGGCCCGACTGGAGCCATAAGGTGGAGACACAAGAGGAAGTCTATGGGGTACCACCCCCCTGCCTCTCTGGTTGAGTCAAAGGTCTAGGGGTATGAAAGGGCCTGGGGTAGTATGGGCATGCAAGTCAGCAGCCAGGAAGAGCAGCTGGATGTAGGCACTGCTGTGTCATTTGCTGCTTCAGAGAGAGATGGTCACCACCAATTCCTCCCTTGGCCAACATTTACCTGTACCACAGGGGGTTGGGTATCTGGGAACCAAGTCACCCTGCACACTCCAGAACAATTTTTATACTTGCACGTTTGTGTATCATTGTGAGTGTGTGT